TAAATAAATAAATAAATAAATAAATAAATAAATAAATAAATAAATAAATAAATAAATAAATAAATAAATAAACCCACCACTGCCCTGGTTATATCTGGTTTCTCTTAGGTGGTCACGGTGATAGGCAAATTAGGCAGGGGTGACATTTAATTTTTTTCCCTACCAGTTCTGTGGTGGAGGGATCCTGTGACTGAGTGGGCATGGCCAACTCGATGTCACTCATGCCCACTCAGTCACATGACCCACCCACACACCAAGCCACGCCCACAGAACCCAGTAGGAAAAAATGTGTGCATGGGCACAAGAAGGGCTCGTAGTGAATGCTGTGGCAGAGAGAAAGTGAACATTTCTCCCGCCATTCACAGCGGAGCTGCTGCTCCCTTTATGGTCCCTTCTCCCCGGCCCCCTCCCTCCCAGGGACTACCTTAATGGGGCAGGCTGCAGCAGCTGTGCTGTGAATGGAGAGAGAAATATTCGGATTGGGTGGGCGGGTTGAGCAGCCGGAAGGGCGGAGCGAGCAGCTGGAAGGGTGAATTGGCGAGCAGGTGAGCAAGTGGGTAACCAAGCAGGTGACTAAGTGGGTGTGGGTGGGGCCAACCAGAGGTGATTTTTACCGGTTCAGCGAACTGATTCAAATAGTCCCTACCAGTTCGCCAGAGCCAATCTAATCCGGCTGAATGTCACCCCTGAAACTAGGACACTGCAGATGTGCTGAACCAAAATCCCCCATCTTTCTCCCCTTGCAGTTAACCGTTCTTCCAAGAAATTGGAAATTGTGCCAACGTTACCTAAACTGTCCATCTTCTGAGCATTGAGGGATGTAGTCTTCTCCATCACGAAAGGCCTTCTCCCTCTGAAGTTCACATGGACGAAGGGGCTGGGTCTCAGCCTCATACTCTACATTCAGAAGAAGGCAAAGTTATGGTAGCAAATCCCTTCCTCGTATCCTAACCTCTTTTTGATCTTTTCCACTTTTTATCCCAAGGACTGAAGAAAGACACACGAAGGAGTGGGCTGCTATGGGTTTGCTTCTGAGCCAGGGCTGAGAACAGTCAAAACTGTGGAATCGTTGCAAATTTCCGGGTGGGGTGGGGTGGGTGTTATAGTTTCTCAAACAAGACCTGTTACTCAGAAAGCCCACTTCTAAGGATGCANTTCCTTCTTTTGCTGTTTCTACATGCTGGCAAGGGCGCTTTGCAGCGACGGGGGCCAGGAGCGGTACCGGCGTTCCTGGAAGTTAATTACTTCCGGGTTCACTGACCATCTGGTTTGCGCGAACCGGGGCAATCCGGGAGGAACCCACCCCTGGAACCAATGCTATTTTGTTTAATCTTGAGCTCTTGGTTCTTTTAACAATGTTAGCAAACACTTAACTAATAGTTGCTTGTTAAGTTTCACTTTCTACACGCCCTTTAATGTTTGGGCGCCATTTTCCTTTTTATTCGATTAATCTTCACAGAAGGAAGTTATCCTCAGATGAAGTTAAGGTCTGTACTTGTAATTGTAAATGCTCCTGTCTTTGCTCTGCCTGCTTCTTATTCAAATGTAGATTAAAACGTTGATTGCAGGGATGGTCGCGGTGCTTTGTTCTGCAAACGTAGATGCGTCCCCGAGAATGGAGCACTGTCGGGCTACAGGAGGGCTCTCACCTTTCAAGCCCCAGAATTGCTCCTGGGGATTTAAGGGAGCTCTACCCTTGCTCAGCAGCTCACCTCCCCCTCTTTTCCTGAGGGGAGAGTTTTCAAACTGCTAGACAGCTGATTTATGCTATTCTAGCAGCTTAACGCGATCTCGGGGCAGGAACGTCCCGCAGGAACATCCGTCAGTGCCTATGGTGCCACCGGAAGTCCCTCCATCTATTGCTTCTTGTTCTGCCTTCAAGTGCTTTGAAGAATAGGTTCACCCACCCCTTGGATATTGGAACCCTATTATTATGTCAAAGCTAGTCCTTCTTTTCATTAAACTAGACACACCAATTTCTGAACTGTTTTTCATATATTTTACCCTCCAGCACCCTAACCATCTTTTTGTTTTTCTCTGCATTATTTCTAGAGTCTCAACTTTTTTTTTTATAGCGTTGTGACCAAACCTGGATGCAATATTCCAAATATGTTCTTATCAAGCCAATATAGAGTGGTATAACACTTCATATGTTCCTGATTTTATCCATTAATTCAGCTTAGGACTGCTGGCTTTTTTGGCAGCTGCAGCACACTGCTGGCTCATACTTAAGTCATTGCCCATTAGGATTCCAAGATCCTTCTTGCAGTTACTACTATTGAGCCAGCTACCATTTATTCTATATCTGTGCATTATGTTTTTCTGGCCTAAATGTACAACCTAACTTTTCTCACCATTCTACCCTCTTTGCAGAGACTCAACATCTTGTTTTATAGCATACTGACGAAAATTATATGCAGTATTCCAAGTACAGTATTACTAAAGCATTATAAAGTAGTACTATCACTTTAATGTGATCTTTATTATTTATTAAATTTATTAAATCGATTTATAGGCCACCCAATCCCGAAGGACTCTTGATTCTATCCCTCTGCAGACTACGACTGAGTTGGCTTTTTTGGCAGCTGCAATATACTGCTGGTTCTTATTTAAGTGATTGTCCACTAGAACTCCAGGATTCCTCTCACAGTTACTACTATTGAACAACGTACCACCTATTCTATATCTAAACATTTGGATTTTCTTGACTAAGTGTAGAACCTTACTTT